TGAGAGACCAGGTGAAAGATTAGGTGGGAGACCAGGTGAGAGACCAGGTGAGAGACCAGGTGAGAGATTAGGTGAGAGACCAGGTGAGAGATTAGGTGAGAGACCAGGTGAGAGATTAGGTGAGAGACCAGGTGAGAGACCAGGTGAGAGATTAGGTGAGAGACCAGGTGAGAGATTAGGTGGGAGACCAGGTGAGAGACCAGGTGAGAGACCAGGTGAGAGATTAGGTGAGAGACCAGGTGAGAGATTAGGTGAGAGACCAGGTGAGAGATTAGGTGAGAGACCAGGTGAGAGATTAGGTGAGAGACCAGGTGAGAGATTAGGTGGGAGACCAGGTGAAAGATTAGGTGAGAGACCAGGTGAGAGATTAGGTGGGAGACCAGGTGAAAGATTAGGTGGGAGACCAGGTGAAAGATTAGGTGGGAGACCAGGTGAGAGACCAGGTGAGAGACCAGGTGAGAGATTAGGTGAGAGACCAGGTGAGAGATTAGGTGAGAGACCAGGTGAGAGACCAGGTGAGAGACCAGGTGAGAGATTAGGTGAGAGACCAGGTGAGAGACCAGGTGAGAGATTAGGTGAGAGACCAGGTGAGAGACCAGGTGAGAGATTAGGTGAGAGATTACTTTTCAGTCAGGTGTCCCTCAGCTGTCCCTCAGGTGTGATTAACAACAGGTACAGGTGAGCTGTCCCCTGATTGGTCGGTCTGTGTTTGAGATGTTGCTCACTTGTGCACTCCAGGAGGGCGGGCTCACAGCACACCAAGCTCCTCCTCCTCCTCAGCCAATCAGAGAGAAGAGCTATACTTTGGGGCGGAGCTACGACACTTCCTCTGGGATGGTCGCTACCATGGTGACCACAGAGAGCGGCCGCGATGATGTCATCGCAGGTCGACCGCTGATCACGATCTGCGAGGTGAAGACGCCGCCCTGTGACATCATCTGTGATGTCACAGGGGGGGGCGGGGCCTCTGCAATCGCACCTTTGTCCTCTCATCTAAGCCCCGCCCCCTCCCCGGGTCACCTGACAGGAAGGGTGACCCCCCCCGCTGTCAGAGTGGTACGCTGGTCGGCATGGAAACAAGCATGAGGACAGATGCAGCGACACGCTAAAGACATGCTAAAGACACGCTAACCTCCTCACAGCAGTTTGTTTCTCCTCCTTCGATGAAGCCATGCAAAGCAATCAGGCTCTCATCGCTTGTTTTTGATTGGCTGCTGGGGGCGGGGCTTCTTATTTCCTGCGCTTCACTTCCTGTCAGTGATGCTTCCCTTGTTTTCCTCCCCAGGTATCTAGACAGTAAACCACAGCTCTAGATCTACAGTCAGATCTCTCAGTGATGTCATCGTGTCACTAATGCTGTGTTCACACCGGACACCATGCGAATATTCGCTTCGCTCTAATCGCTCGAGTTTCAGCCAAGGGGGCTACAACTACAACAAGATGAACATATTTGACCGTGATTTAATTGTAATACACGTTTCTAAATGATGAAGTAACAACATACTGATACCGGTTAGTAAAAACCATGAATTAATGCTTTGACAAGTCTGCAGACAGACGGCAGGCGAAACACCTTTTAAAATGCGTGTTTTCTGAATGGAGATTGGCTAAGCTAACGCAGTATATGCTCCGACCGTCCACACTCACAACAACGGCCTATACAGACATAAATAAAGCAGCGACTGTATTCTCCATGACACAGACAGTCTGTGGTTTGTACTTGTTTAACTTTTGTCGAGTTTCTGAACAGATATGAGGAGCTGTGAGCTCTGAGTGCTAACAGCTAACGGCTAACAGCTAACGGCTGATGTTTTGGTTTTCTGATTCAACGTCAGTGACGGCAGGCTAAGATCCTCACCGCTGATTGGCTACCGCGAGAACGTGTCAGGGCGAATTTGTTGCGGCCCCCTCCAATCGCCTCAACCGCGCCGCGGCATTCGCGTCAACCGCGTCATGCGCACCGCCGGAGCGAATTTGCGTCTGTCCGCGTCTCTGCATTGACTGTAATCACGTCTGGTGTGAACGCATCACAGCTCTGCATGGCTCAGTCCTAGATAAGAGTCAATAGGAAGTTAAGTTATCTCTAACCCTCTGGTGTGTGTGTGTGTGTGTGTGTGTGTGTGTGTGTGTGTGTGTGTGTGTGTGTGTGTGCGTGTGTGTGTGTGTGTGTGTGTGTGTGTGTGTGTGGTGTGCGTGTGTGTGTGTGTGTGTGTGTGTGTGTGTGTGTGTGTGTGTGTGCGTGTGTGTGTGTGTGTGTGTGTGTGCGCGTTTAGCCTAAACCTACATTTGATGGAATGTCTACTGAACTGACGTCTCTTCTGAACTCAGCCAGAGAACAAAAAACGACTTTCACCGAACACAACCTGCTGAAGGTACCTGTCTCACCACCTGTCTCACCACCTGTCTCACTACCTGTCTCACCACCTGTCTCACCACCTGTCTCACCACCTGTCTCACCACCTGTCTCACCACCTGTCTCACCACCTGTCTCAAAAAAACCCCACCTGTCTCTTCCACCTGTCCTCACCACCTGTCTCAACTCCACCCTGTCTCACCACCTGTCTCTCACACCGTCTCACCACCTGTCTTCACCACACCTGTCTCACCACCACCTGTCCTCACCACCTGTCTCTCCACCTGTCTCTCCACCTGTCTCACCACCTGTCTCTCCACCTGTCTCACCACCTGTCTCACCACCTGTCTCTCTACCTGTCTCACCACCTGTCTCACCACCTGTCTCACCACCTGTCTCACCACCTGTCTCACCACCTGTCTCTCCACCTGTCTCACCACCTGTCTCTCCACCTGTCTCACCACCTGTCTCTCCACCTGTCTCACCACCTGTCTCACCACCTGTCTCTCCACCTGTCTCTCCACCTGTCTCACCACCTGTCTCTCCACCTGTCTCACCACTTGTCTCTCCACCTGTCTCACCACCTGTCTCTCCACCTGTCTCACCACCTGTCTCTCCACCTGTCTCACCACCTGTCTCTCCACCTGTCTCACCACCTGTCTCACCACCTGTCTCTCCACCTGTCTCACCACCTGTCTCTCCACCTGTCTCACCACTTGTCTCTCCACCTGTCTCTCCACCTGTCTCACCACCTGTCTCTCCACCTGTCTCACCACCGTGTACTCACCACCTGTCTCTCCACCTGTCTCACCACCTGTCTTCTCCACCTGTCTCACCACCTGTCTCTTCTCCACCTGTCTCACCACCTGTCTCACCACCTGTCTCTCCACCTGTCTCAACCACCTGTCTCACCACCTGTCTCTCCACCTGTTCTCACCACCTGTCTCACCACCTGTCTCTCCACCTTGTCTCACCACCTGTCTCACCACCTGTCTCTCCACCTGTCTCACCACCTGTCCTCACCACCTGTCTCTCCACCTGCTCCTCTCCACCTGTCTCACCACCTGGCTCTCCACCTGTCTCACCACCTGTCTCCCACCTTCCACCACTGTCTCACCACCTGTCTCTCCACCTGTCTCACCACCTGTCTCTCACCTGTCCTCACCACCTGTCCTCAACCACCTGTCTCTCCACCTGTCTCATCCCACCTGTCTCACCACCTGTCTCTCCACCTGTCTCATCCACCCTGTCTCACCAACTGTCTCTCCACCTGTCTCTCCACCTGTCTCACCACCTGTCTCACCACCTGTCTCTCCACCTGTCTCACCACCTGTCTCACCACCTGTCTCTCCACCTGTCTCACCACCTGTCTCACCACCTGTCTCTCCACCTGTCTCACCACCTGTCTCACCACCTGTCTCTCCACCTGTCTCACCACCTGTCTCACCCCTGTCTCTCCACCTGTCTCTCCACCTGTCTCACCACCCTGTCTCTCCACCTGTCTCACCACCTGTCTCACCACCTGTCTCTCCACCTGTCTCTCCACCTGTCTCACCACCTGTCTCACCACCTGTCTCTCCACCTGTCTCTCCACCTGTCTCACCACCTGTCTCTCCACCTGTCTCTCCACCTGTCTCACCACCTGTCTCTCCACCTGTCTCTCCACCTGTCTCACCACCTGTCTCTCCACCTGTCTCACCACCTGTCTCACCACCTGTCTCACCACTTGTCTCTCCACCTGTCTCACCACCTGTCTCTCCACCTGTCTCACCACCTGTCTTACATCATGTCTCACCACCTGTCTTACATCATGTCTCACCACCTGTCTCTCCACCTGTCTCACCACCTGTCTTACATCATGTCTCACCACCTGTCTCTCCACCTGTCTCACCACCTGTCTTACATCATGTCTCACCACCTGTCTCACAACCTGTCAGTCACTGAGCTGTAGCCCCACCCCCTCACATTTTCCTTCTCACTTCCTGTTTCAGACGTCAGAGAAGGTGGAGACTCTCTTCCTGAAAGCGGAGTCATGTGACCCGGACCAGCCAATGGCAGAACAGCCTCAGGTAGCAACAGTGGCCCGGCCCCCTAGCAACCCCCCGCCCCCCCCCACCGGGTCGGGCTGATGATGTCACAGAGGAAGTGGCTGGGGATGCTAATGATGCTAACCAGGCTAACAGTGATGTCAGCGATGACGACCTTAGCGATGCTAGCGATGTTAGCGATGTTAGCTCAGATGCTATCAGTGTGTTAGCTCAGGCGGCGGTGGAAGAAGCCATTGATTCTGCAGTCAGACGCGCTAACGATGTTAATCAGGATAGCATTAACGCTAACCTCACAGATAGCCAAGCCGCGCAGGAGGCTAATAGGCCCCGCCCCTTTCAGCATTACTATGGACACCAGCACTCGGATGAGAAAGAGGAAGAAGAGGAGGGATGGAGGTTCAGAGGAAACTCCCCCCCCCCCTCGTTACCCCGCCCCCAATGCTCGGCCAATCAGAGGCAGCTGTCAGATCTCAGTGACGAGGACAAACCTCTGCAGGAGGTAAAACCAGTTAAACCTGACCCAGTTAAACCTGACCCAGTTAAACCTGACCCAGTTAAACCTAACCCAGTTAAACCTGACCCAGTTAAACCTAACCCAGTTAAACCTGACCCAGTTAAACCTGACCCAGTTAAACCTGACCCAGTTAAACCTAACCCAGTTAAACCTAACCCAGTTAAACATGACCCAGTTGACCCAGTTAAACCTAACCCAGTTAAACCTGACCCAATTAAACCTAACCCAGTTAAACCTAACCCAGTTGACCCAGTTAAACCTAACCCAGTTAAACCTAACCCAGTTAAACCTAACCCAGTTAAACCTGACCCAGTTAAACCTAACCCAGTTAAACCAGTCCTCCCAGTATCAGCTTCTGTCTCCCTCTGCTGGCGACACGAGGCTTTGCACTCAGCTGTCAATCAGAACTGATGTTAGTATACAGAGTATATAAACATATATATATAGTAGTATATATATATATCTGAGTACTGTTTGTGTGTGTGTGTGTGTGTGTGTGTGTGTGTGTGTGTGTGTGTGTGTGACAGGAAGTCCCTGTGATGAGGAAGACTCTGACTTATGAAGCTCCGGGGGTGAGTGTTAGTCATGATGTCATCTGTTTCATAGGCAAAAACACGTAAAATAAATAAGTGTGTGTGTGTGTGTGTGTTACAGAGGGTGGACTCTGACCCTGCAGGTTTGCTGCTGAGCTCTCAGACGTTCACCGCAGAGACCGCGAACACCACGACCACCACACACATCACCAAGGTAACACACACACGCACACATCACCAAGGTAACACACACATCACCAAGGTAACACACACACACATCACCAAGGTAACACACACACACACACATCACCAAGGTAACACACACACACATCACCAAGGTAACACACACACACACATCACCAAGGTAACACACTAGGGATGTAACGATATATCGAATATCGCGGTAAATAAATGTCTCAATGCCGTCGTGAGACTGACCAAATCTACCGCGATTAAAAAAAAATTATTATAAAAAAAATGTTAAACACATTTTTTTTTTTTTAAACCTTTATTTAACCAGGTGGTCCCATTGTAGTGTTGCACGGTGTACCGATACTTGAAAGGTACCGCGATACCCTGCCGTTAAAAACGTTACGATTCCTCCGTTTCATTAGTATCTGTACTTTAAGAATGACGGGGAAAAGTACTCCGGTGAGAAAGCGCTGTTTTAAAAAGAGCCGTGTGTGTTCAGCGCTCTGCTTCCACTCCCTGCAGCCCCTCCCCTCTCCAGCACGCTCTAAGTCCCTCCCCTCTCCAGCACGCTCTAAGTCCCTCCCCTCTCCAGCACGCTCTAAGTCCCTCCCCTCTCCAGCACGCTCTAAGTGCCTCCCCTCTCCAGCACGCTCTAAGTCCCTCCCCTCTCCCAGCACGCTCTAAGTCCCTCCCCTCTCCAGCAACGCTCTAAGTCCCTCCCCTCTCCAGCACGCTCTAAGTGCCCTCCCCTCTCCAGCACGCTCTAAGTGCCTGCCCTCTCCAGCCCCCACGCTCTAAGTCCCTCCCCTCTCCAGCACGCTCTAAGTCCCTCCCTCTCCAGCAGCGCTCTAAGTGCCCCCTCCCCTCTCCAGCACGCTCTAAGTCCCTCCCCTCTCCAGCACGCTCTAAGTCCCTCCCCTCTCCAGCACGCTCTAAGTCCCTCCCCTCTCCAGCACGCTCTAAGTCCCTCCCCTCTCCAGCACGCTCTAAGTCCCTCCCCTCTCCAGCACGCTCTAAGTGCCTGCCCCTCTCCAGCACGCTCTAAGTCCCTCCCCTCTCCAGCACGCTCTAAGTCCCTCCCCTCTCCAGCACGCTCTAAGTGCCTCCCCTCTCCAGCACGCTCTAAGTCCCTCCCCTCTCCAGCACGCTCTAAGTGCCTCCCCTCTCCAGCACGCTCTAAGTGCCTCCCCTCTCCAGCACGCTCTAAGTCCCTCCCCTCTCTCGTGCACGCTCTAAGTGCCTCCCCTCTCCAGCACGCTCTAAGTGCCTCCCCTCTCTCGTGCACGCGCTAGCTGCCAGAGCATGTGAGAAAACGAGAAGCTGCAAGTGGGAGTGCAACTGCCGCTGCGCCTCGGCTTGTTGACAAAAAAGACTATTATTATCGATCTCTTTCTCAAGAGAGACCTGTCCAACATGGCAGCAAGTAGGTTACAACATGAACATAAAACAACAGATAACACAAAAGGACATGTATTTCCAGGGCTACCTAGAGACATTGACAAGTACCAACAGTATATGTATATCTCGCCCTGTCAATGAGCCTCACCTGCTTGGCAACACCTGTATTGTGTTTGAAGTGGTGGAGAGACAATGCTCAGTTTGACCCACTGCTGGCACCCATGGACAAAGCATATCTCTCTGTCCCAGCAACATCAGTACCAAGAGAGAGAGTTCTTTCCACAGCAGGGGGTTTTGTAAACGCCTGAACATCCCAGCTTCAACCTGGACATGTGAGCATGCTCATATTCCTAAAGACCTGTCTGATGAAGCTGAGTGAGTGACTTAGTGAGTGACTTAGTGAGTGACTTAGTGAGTGACTTAGTGAGTGACTTAGTGAGTGACTTAGTGAGTGACTGAGTGAGTGACTTAGTGAGTGACTTAGTGAGTGACTTAGTGAGTGACTGAGTGAGTGACTTAGTGAGTGACTTAGTGAGTGACTGAGTGAGTGACTTAGTGAGTGACTTAGTGAGTGACTTAGTGAGTGACTTAGTGAGTGAGAGTGACTTAGTGAGTGACTTAGTGAGTGACTTAGTGAGTGAGAGTGACTTAGTGAGTGACTTAGTGAGTGACTTAGTGAGTGACTGAGTGAGTGACTTAGTGAGTGACTTAGTGAGTGACTGAGTGAGTGACTTAGTGAGTGACTTAGTGAGTGACTTAGTGAGTGACTGAGTGAGTGACTTAGTGAGTGACTTAGTGAGTGACTTAGTGAGTGACTTAGTGAGTGACTTAGTGAGTGACTGAGTGAGTGACTTAGTGAGTGACTTAGTGAGTGACTGAGTGAGTGACTTAGTGAGTGACTTAGTGAGTGAGAGTGACTTAGTGAGTGACTTAGTGAGTGACTGAGTGAGTGACTTAGTGAGTGACTGAGTGAGTGACTTAGTGAGTGACTGAGTGAGTGACTTAGTGAGTGACTTAGTGAGTGACTGAGTGAGTGACTGAGTGAGTGACTAGTGAGTGACTGAGTGAGTGACTTAGTGAGTGACTTAGTGAGTGACTTAGTGAGTGACTTAGTGAGTGACTTAGTGAGTGACTGAGTGAGTGACTGAGTGAGTGACTGAGTGAGTGACTGAGTGAGTGACTGAGTGAGTGACTGAGTGAGTGACTGAGTGAGTGACTTAGTGAGTGACTTAGTGGTGACTGAGGTGAGTGACTTAGTGAGTGACTTAGTGGACTTAGTGAGTGACTTAGTGAGTGTGACTTAGTGACTTAGTGAGTGACTGAGTGGTGCAGGACTGAGTGAGTGACTAGTGGGTGAGTGAGTGAGTGACTGAGTGACGAGTGAGTGACTTAGTGTAGTGACCTGAGTGAGTGACTGAGTGAGTGACTTAGTGAGTGACTTAGTGAGTGACTAGTGAGGACTTAGTGGAGTGACTTAGTGAGTGACTGAGTGAGTGATGAGTGAGACTGACTTAGTGAGGACTTAGGAGTGATGAGTGACTGAGTGAGTGACTTAGTGAGTGACTGAGTGAGTGACTGAGTGAGTGACTGAGTGAGTGACTTAGTGAGTGACTGAGTGAGTGACTTAGTGAGTGACTTAGTGAGTGACTGAGTGAGTGACTGAGTGAGTGACTTAGTGAGTGACTTAGTGAGTGACTGAGTGAGTGACTTAGTGAGTGACTTAGTGGTGACTGAGTGAGTGGACTTAGTGAGTGACTGAGTGAGTGACTGAGTGAGTGACTGAGTGAGTGACTTAGTGAGTGACTGAGTGAGTGACTGAGTGAGTGACTTAGGAGTGACTGAGTGAGTGACTTAGTGAGTGACTGAGTGAGTGACTTAGTGAGTGACTGAGTGAGTGACTGAGTGAGTGACTGAGTGAGTGTCTTAGTGAGTGACTGAGTGAGTGACTTAGTGAGTGACTGAGTGAGTGACTGAGTGAGTGACTGAGTGAGTGACTTAGTGAGTGACTGAGTGAGTGACTGAGTGAGTGACTGAGTGAGTGACTTAGTGACTTAGTGAGTGACTTAGTGAGTGACTGAGTGAGTGACTTAGTGAGTGACTGAGTGAGTGACTTAGTGAGTGACTTAGTGAGTGACTGAGTGAGTGACTTAGTGAGTGACTGAGTGAGTGACTGAGTGAGTGACTGAGTGAGTGACTTAGTGAGTGACTGAGTGAGTGACTTAGTGAGTGACTTAGTGAGTGACTTAGTGAGTGACTTAGTGAGTGACTGAGTGAGTGACTGAGTGAGTGACTGAGTGAGTGACTGAGTGAGTGACTTAGTGAGTGACTTAGTGAGTGACTTAGTGAGTGACTTAGTGAGTGACTTAGTGAGTGACTTAGTGAGTGACTTAGTGAGTGACTTAGTGAGTGACTTAGTGAGTGACTGAGTGAGTGACTTAGTGAGTGACTGAGTGAGTGACTGAGTGAGTGACTTAGTGAGTGACTTAGTGAGTGACTTAGTGAGTGACTTAGTGAGTGACTGAGTGACTTAGTGAGTGACTTAGTGAGTGACTGAGTGAGTGACTTAGTGAGTGACTGAGTGAGTGACTGAGTGAGTGACTGAGTGAGTGACTTAGTGAGTGACTGAGTGAGTGACTGAGTGAGTGACTGAGTGAGTGACTGAGTGAGTGACTTAGTGAGTGACTGAGTGAGTGACTGAGTGAGTGACTGAGTGAGTGACTGAGTGAGTGACTTAGTGAGTGACTGAGTGAGTGACTGAGTGAGTGACTTAGTGAGTGACTTAGTGAGTGACTTAGTGAGTGACTTAGTGAGTGACTTAGTGAGTGACTGAGTGAGTGACTTAGTGAGTGACTTAGTGAGTGACTGAGTGAGTGACTGAGTGAGTGACTTAGTGAGTGACTTAGTGAGTGACTTAGTGAGTGACTTAGTGAGTGACTTAGTGAGTGACTGAGTGAGTGACTTAGTGAGTGACTGAGTGAGTGACTTAGTGAGTGACTTAGTGAGTGACTGAGTGAGTGACTGAGTGAGTGACTTAGTGAGTGACTTAGTGAGTGACTGAGTGAGTGACTGAGTGAGTGACTTAGTGAGTGACTTAGTGGAGTGACTTAGTGAGTGACTTAGTGAGGTGACTTAGTGAGTGGACTGAGTGAGTGACTTAGTGAGTGGACTTAGTGAGTGACTTAGTGAGTGACTTAGTGAGTGACTGAGTGAGTGACTTAGTGAGTGACTGAGTGAGTGACTTAGTGAGTGACTTAGTGAGTGACTGAGGAGTGACTTAGTGAGTGACTTAGTGAGTGACTGAGTGAGTGACTTAGTGAGTGACTTAGTGAGTGACTTAGTCAGTGACTGAGTGAGTGACTTAGTGAGTGACTTAGTGAGTGACTTAGTGAGTGACTGAGTGAGTGACTTAGTGAGTGACTTAGTGAGTGACTTAGTCAGTGACTGAGTGAGTGACTTAGTGAGTGACTTAGTGAGTGACTGAGTGAGTGACTTAGTAAGTGACTGAGTGATTGACTTAGTGAGTGACTTAGTGAGTGACTTAGTGAGTGACTTAGTGAGTGACTTAGTGAGTGACTTAGTGAGTTTGAGTTGAGCTACTTGAAAAACTAAAGTGAAACTTGATTTATTTTATTGCAGGGTCTGATTAAGATATTGTTGACACTTTAAAATACTACTATCCTACTAAAATGCTTTACAAATCAGATTTATTATTCAATAAAGAAAATTAAAAAAAAATTAAAAAAATTCACAATTATTTTTCTTCTTTATTTTTCAATATCGCGATAAATATCGTACCGTGGACTTTTTATTGCGATATTATCGTACCGTGAGTTTTTGGTATCGTTACATCCCTATAACACACACACCCTAACCTCTGTGTGTGCAGACAGTGAAGGGAGGAGTCTCGGAGACTCGGATCGAGAAGAGGATCGTGATCTCCGGAGACACCGAAATCGACCACGACCAGGTGACACTTTGTTATTAACACTCTGACCAGGTGACACTTTGTTATTAACACTCTGACCAGGTGACACTTTGTTATTAACACTCTGACCAGGTGACACTTTGTTATTAACACTCTGACCAGGTGACACTTTGTTATTAACACTCTGACCAGGTGACACTTTGTTATTAACACTCTGACCAGGTGACACTTTGTTATTATCACTCTGACCAGGTGACACTTTGTTATTAACACTCTGACCAGGTGACACTTTGTTATTAACACTCTGACCAGGTGACACTTTGTTATTAACACTCTGACCAGGTGACACTTTGTTATTAACACTCTGACCAGGTGACACTTGTTATTAACACTCTGACCAGGGTGACACTTTGTTATTAACACTCTGACCAGGTGATACTTTGTTATTAACACTCTGACCAGGTGACACTTTGTTATTAACACTCTGACCAGGTGGACACTTTGTTATTAACACTCTGACCAGGTGACACTTTGTTATTAACACTCTGACCAGGTGACACTTTGTTATTATCACTCTGACCAGGTGACACTTTGTTATTAACACTCTGACCAGGTGACACTTTGTTATTATCACTCTGACCAGGTGACACTTTGTTATTAACACTCTGACCAGGTGACACTTTGTTATTAACACTCTGACCAGGTGACACTTTGTTATTAACACTCTGACCAGGTGACACTTTGTTATTAACACTCTGACCAGGTGACACTTTGTTATTAACACTCTGACCAGGTGACACTTTGTTATTAACACTCTGACCAGGTGACACTTTGTTATTAACACTCTGACCAGGTGACACTTTGTTATTATCACTCTGACCAGGTGACACTTTGTTATTAACACTCTGACCAGGTGACACTTTGTTATTATCACTCTGACCAGGTGACACTTTGTTATTAACACTCTGACCAGGTGACACTTTGTTATTATCACTCTGACCAGGTGACACTTTGTTATTAACACTCTGACCAGGTGACACTTTGTTATTATCACTCTGACCAGGTGACACTTTGTTATTAACAGGTAAAGAAACGCTGTAAGGTTAGGGTTAACTAACCCAGGTTAACTAACCCAGGTTAACTAACCCTCTTTAAGGCTCTTGAGACGGTTCTCTCTGAGACTTTAGAACAGCTCCACATCTTATTTCATCCTAACTTCAGGAGTTTCTCTGTCCTGTCTGCAGTCAGACGTTGCAGCAGGGTGTGTGTGTGTGTGTGTGTGTGTGTGTGTGTGTGTGTGTGTGTGTGTGTGTGTGTGTGTGTGTGTGTGTGTGTGTGTGTGTGTGTGTGTGTGTGTGTGTGTGTGTGTGTGTGTGTGTGTGTGTTGGTCTCCGTGCCAGGCGGGATCCCAGGAGGGTTTGAGGCACTCAGGCAACAAGCTCCTCAGCCCGGACTCCATCTGAGCCTCTTTGGCCCGGGTTAACAGGTCTATCCAAGGTTATCCAACCCGGGTTATCTAACCCTCTCTAAGGCTCTGACCCGGTCTAACCAAGGTTATCTAACCCGGGTTATCCAACCCTCTTTAAGGCTCTGGAGGCCGCTCTCTCTGAGGCTCTGACCCGGTCTAACCCAGGTTATCTAACCCTCTCTAAGGCTCTGACCCGGTCTAACCCAGGTTAACTAACCCGGGTTATCTAACCCTCTCTAAGGCTCTGACCCAGTCTAACCCAGGTTAACTAACCCGGGTTATCTAACCCTCTCTAAGGCTCTGGAGGCCGCTCTCTCTGAGGCGCGACGCCAACATCCTGAACTTTCCGTCACTCGAGTCGTCGTCCACAAAGAGACCGAGGTTTCTCCTGATCATGTGACCGATTAGTGACATCACAGGTAACAGGTGCAGCCCCGTGCTGGATGATGATTGGCTGCTGCTGCATGCCTGTTTGCACTTTCACCTGGAAAAACACCTGGAGGACCCAGGGAGAGATCTGATTGGTTGAAACGTTTAGGACCGGAAAATGTAGTCTGAAGAGGAAGTAAACAAGACAGAGGGTGTTTCTCAATGGCGAGTAAAGCTGCTTCAGAGCCACTATTTCAAGCATGCTACGTCATCGAGTGCCGCCGAAGTACTGTTCCAATCTCCAGCATACTTGGAAATCTACCGAGCCCGGCGTACTCCGTTTGGAGAAATATCGAGGCTGCACATGAGTAGAGCGGTCTTAAAATCCCCACAATGCTTTGCGCACGGACCAATTTCCCCAAATCTGTGGTGGAAGATGTAAGAGGCGGGGCCTCTCATATGACGCACACCTGCACACTTGCTCGCCTGTTCCACTCTTTGTTTTCCGAATGTCAGGAAGTATTCTTGACTCGCTTCTGAAGCAAGATGCTCGGCAGACATGTGCTACCAAGCAAGCGTACTCGACATTGAGAAACACCCCATGAACATCAGAGGACAGTGGGGACACCAGCATGCTATGCTAATATTAGCATGCAAATATTAGCATGCTAATAGTCAAGCTTTGAAATTGCTATGCTAATTAGCATGCTACTCACTGGCTAGCTCGTTCGTTAACGGTAAATGTTGCTGCAAGGGATTGTGGGGCGGCTTTATATCCTTTCCTTCAATGCCTGAGAGGGAAACAAACGCAGGGTTCTGATTGGTCGACAAGACTCCTGTCTCACTGCTGCACCTGTCTGTCTTTCAGGACTGAAGCTACAAGACTGCAGGATCATGGGAGCCACTCACACAGAGACACAGACACACACACAGAGACACACACAGAGACACACAGACACACTCACAGAGACACACAGAGACACAGAGAGACACACAGAGACACACAGAGACACAGACACACTCACAGAGACACACACAGAGACACACAGACACACTCACAGAGACACACAGAGACACACAGAGACACAGAGACACACAGAGACACAGAGAGACACACAGAGACACACAGAGACACAGACACACTCACAGAGACACACACAGAGACACACAGACACACTCACAGAGACACACAGAGACACACAGAGACACAGAGACACACAGAGACACACAGAGACACACAGAGACACAGACACACTCACAGAGACACACACAGACACACACAGAGACACAGACACACACACAGACACAGAGACACAGACACACACACAGAGACACAGACACACACACACACAGAGACACACACACAGAGACACACACACAGAGACACACACACAGAGACACACACACAGAGACACAGACACACACACACAGAGAGACACACACACACACACACACACACACACAGACACACACACAGACACACACAGAGACACAGACACACACAGAGACACAGAGACACAGACACACACAGAGACACACACACACACAGAGACACACACACACACAGAGACACACACACACACACAGAGACACACACACAGCGACACACACACACACACACACACACACACACACACACACACACACACACACACACACACACACACACACACAGAGAGACAGACACACACACAGAGACACACACACAGACGAGTCGGTCGACCTCAGATGAACTCTCAAAGTGAACTCCAGGCCCCGCCCCCTCACACCTGATTGGTTGGTTGACTCAAGGTGCTCCATATGAAACTTCAGTACTCTTTTAATAAAAGTCTTCGTCATGTTTTCGGAGTCGCTGATCCTAATCTTGTTAGCATAGCATCACATGTTAGCATAGCATCATCTGCACCAGCTTTACCTGGATGATAAACAGGAAGTAGAATTCATATTTATATTTCTGTCGACTGTACAGCTCCAACATTAGTAACAGGAAGTGGAACTTTATTCTGACATCTGATGCAAACTGTTTCCTGTAACATAGCATGTTTGCTAGCACTGTACCCGCTAACTGTATAGCAGCTTAAACTCTGTATTTACCCACAATGCAATAGTAATGTGCCATTCTTCTCACCATGGAAACCCTGTTATTATTTATTCACTGTGATGTTGATTTATGTGTTTATTTATTATTGATCTGTGTTGTAATCCCAACCCGACAACGTAAAGCTGAGCGTAAACTGTACGATGTAAACTGTACGATGTTGGCTAGCGGAGTCTCTGAAGAAAAGAGCCTCAGAAAAACAACGTAGACTCGTGTTAGCATAGAGAGTTCAAGATAGATAAGCTACATTTATGTAGATTGTACATATTTAAACTTAAATGAACACCACTCCGCGCTGAAGTCGCCATATAGATCTAAAATCTGATCGGTGCGGGAGAAACATCGTAATCATCGAGCTAACATCATTATCATTGGGCTATCAGGCTAACACCAGGCTAAAATCGGGCTAACACCAGGCTAACACCGGGCTAACATCGGGCTAACCCGGGCTAACATCGTACAGATTACGCTCCGCTCTGCACACTCCCCGAGGTATTTTATTCTCATCATGAATTCTTACGAGTTTTCACCGCTGAACTGAAATAAAACGATTAAACTGGACTTCCTGTCTGAATGTATTTTATTGATTGATGAAGAAACAGAGTTACAGAGGGAGGGAGGACAGCATCATGTAACAGCCTTCATCTAAACGTCGTTTATTACAGAAGTACAGATTCATGTTTTCAGATCTCAAACTTTCCCACAATAATAAAGACGTTAATCGTGCTAACTCTTCTTCATGTAGCGTTAGCTTTATGCTAGCCGGCTCCAACCAGACGTAGCACAAGGTAGGAAGTACAAGTAAAAAGGAAGCTTTTGATTGGACAAAAGAGTGGAAAGGGGCGGGAATTAGGAAAGGCCGATTCATTAAACAAAACTGTTGTGTCCGCCCGCCAATCAGAGCTGAGCTACGTGTTGCTTAGCAACAGGACAGGAGTTAGGAGTCACGCCCAACAGGAAGTGGGCGGAGCTTAACTCCAGAGCGTCATTCAGGTGAGACTTAATGAGATGAAGCTTCCTCAGACAGCCTGAGAACCTGGAGCTGACAGACAGGCAGTTCTGCTTCACACCCACTGAGAGACAGACAGGTGGAGATACAGACAGGTGAGGGGGATACAGGTGGAGACAGACAGGTGGAGATACAGACAGGTGAGGGGGATACAGGTGGAGACAGACAGACAGGTGGAGAGAGAGACAGGTTAGTGTGAGTCTTTGACAGGTCGTCATGTTTGGTTCACCTGTAACTGAGTGGACAGATCTCTCACCTGGGAATCCGCCCAGGTAGACGGGGTTGTTGGTCTCAGCAGAGGTGGATTGTGGGTAAGGGTTGGGGGTGGAGTAGCTCCTCCCATCAACGCTCAGACTCAGGCTGTGTTTGGTCTTCTTCGCCACCAGGTGGTGCCAGAGCCCGTCACACAGCAGGGGACCAATCGAACGCACCGACACTCGCCCCGCCCCGTTGTTCACGTTAAACACCACCTGAGGACACACACATTCCTGTTATTATCTCTGTGTGAGGACATAAACACACCTGAGGACACACACATTCCTGTTATTATCTCTGTGTGAGGACATAAACACACCTGAGGACACACACATTCCTGTTATTATCTCTGTGTGAGGACATAAACACACCTGAGGACACACACATTCCTGTTATTATCTCTGTGAGGACATAAACACCTGAGGACACACACATTCCTGTTATTATCTCTGTGAGGACATAAACACCTACATTTGTACCCGACCAATCCAATCTCCCCATTCCTAACAACATGCATGATGTAATCTCGAGGGAGGGGCTTAAAGCACACAGCACCTGTCACATGACTCCTGAGCCTCACCCCCTGTCACATGACTCCTGAGCCTCACCCCCTGTCACATGACTCCTGAGCCTCACCCCCTGTCACATGACTCCTGAGCCTCACCTGTCCGTGGATCAGCTCCAGCCCGATGGCGTCCACCTTGGCGCTGCTGATCCCCAGCAACACGGCTTCTGATTGGCTCGTTCGAAACTCGAAGGCCACGGACACATCAGAGCCCACCTTATAACCATCACGCACTACACACACACACACACACACACACACACACACACACACACACACACACACACACACACACACACACACACAAAGTTAACCACTAGGAACATCATCAGATTAAATATTAAATTATAAATATATTATATAATTAGTTGGACTCACTCAGGGCGGCGTATCCACTGCCGTTAAAGTAACTTCCTGTCTGGTCGTTGGTGAAACAGGAAGTGACATCATGCTGTGAAGCTGGAGAGGACAGATCCAACATGGCGCCGTTCAGACTGACGGAGCGAACGCATCCCGAGAAGCTGCTGCTGGCCTGAGAGACAGGAAGTCACACCTGTGTTTACTCAGGAACACAGTGACATCACTAGGGAACACTCCTATTGGATAGCACTCCACCTGTTAGGCTAAGGGGCGGGACATCTCTAAACAGGTTGATATTTATATTCACAGGTAAGGATAAAGTAGAGGCACGACATACTGATATACACCTGAGCATATATGTACACAGGTGAACAGTAGAGAGGTACACTATACACAGGTGAACAGTAGAGAGG